CTATGGATTTTCTATGGACTTCTATGGATTTTCTATGGATTTTCTATGGATTTTCTATGGATTTTCTATGGATTTTCTATGGATTTTCTATGGATTTTCTATGGATTTTCTATGGATTTTCTATGGTTTTCTATGGATTTTCTAGAAATTTCTATGATTTTCTTTGATTTTCTAAAGTTTGCTTTGAATTTTGTAGGAATTTCTATGATGTTCTTTAAATTTTTATGATTTTCTATGAATTTCCAAGAGTTTTCATGATTTTTTAGGGATTTCCAAGGTTTTCCAGGATTTTCTTCGATTTTTCCTGAAGATTTCTTATGATTTTCTATGACTTTTTGTGCTTTTCTTTGATTTTCTAGAGGTTTGCGTTACCGGCGCATAGATTTTCCATGAGTTTCTAAGATTTCACATATACTACACTAAATTGATAACATTGTACTCTACAGGAGTTTGTGTGTTACATATGGTTTACTATCTCCCTTCTTCTCCTTCTCTTCCTTTTCCGCCTTCTTCTTCTCCTCCTTATCCTCCTTATATTACTGTTGAACGTAATGTTAGGTTAGATGACAGTTGTTCCTTGAGATTTATGACTGTTAGGTTTGCAACTCTGTTGCCGTTTTGGCTTTGCTGCTGCACTCTCTTCAACGTCCCCATCTTCTTCACAACGACATTATATTTTTCCCGTTTAAATCAGGCGCAAGCCAACTCAGCATAAAAAATGGTGCGGATAGAAAATGGCATTAGATATGTAAGATTAGGTTAGGGCAACTTCATAGCTATCAATCTTCAGGTTAGGTTGGCAACTCTTGATAATCCTCGTGTGTCGCAATAATCCTAGACATGTTAGATAATGTTAGAAGAGAATTTTTTAATAAGCCTTTTTTTGCCAAGAAGTTATGAAAAATTTAATACGTCAAGTGCGTTTTAAATCACCTTTGATATTCTTAATTTATTTATTTTTGTAAATACAAGAAGCGTTTCCTTAGTAATAAACAATAATTGTTAATACAAGAATGTAACTTATTAGTAAAAGCCCAGAACATGTCTATATAAAAAAACAAGGTACGAGCTACAAAAAATTGCCATTTGTGCAGTGTTTAAATCCCTCTAACAGTAAAAAACTACTTAAATTTATAAAAGATACTAACATTTACTCTGGTACTAGCCAGAATGTTAATTATCCATTGTATACTAGTGTAAAAAACAGCATTTATAAGGTATTATACCTCCGGTAGTGATCCTTTGAGGTTGAAGCGGTAAATAAAAAAAAATAATTTAACCTATTTTATGAATTTAATTAATGTAATTTCTGTAATAGCATAAAAACCTAAATCTGTTTACATGAACGTAAACATATTGAAAATATCTTTCAAATGAAGTATCACATGACCCTACTTTCCATTAGAAAATTTAAAGCTAGTAACTCCCTCTATCTTACGTGTCTCAGTATTATCATTGGTAGAATTATATTCTGTGATTTTTACAATAAATGTATAACAAATACTATTAATAAAAATAAAAACAAAAGTTTATTAAAAAATGTAAAAAACAAACACTCCTGAATTCTAATACTGTGCAATATGAGCAAATATAAGAAATATTGTAATTATTTAATTTATATCATAGGTACTTACCGGATATACCTACCCTACTATACAAACTGTTATCTGTAAAAATTTTCTCATGACTATCCCATCCCCATGGCCTAATATCAAGCCATTTATCATCATCTCAGGTCCATTGTCGCTTACCTATATATGAGGGAATAACATTAAGCAACTTGCATCCCCGACCGACCTAAATCTCACCCTCTTTTTTTTAACCTGCAGTAATGACGCTCTCTCTGTGAAGAAAGTATTCACTTGCTTTATTTTTCGATCTTTTTTTCGATATGGGGACCTTCCTATAATTATTTCGAGATGAATGGATGTGGAACGGAAGGAAGTTAGAAATGAACAGTCTCCTATCAAAAAAAGTTATTGTACGAAAATATCGGGTTACGTGAATTTTAGTGGCAACCTGCTTTAGGTACGATAATGAATTAGTAAAATTATACAATAGAAGAAAAAAATAAGAATTCAGGTGACTAAAAAAATAGTTAATACTAAAATGTTTGTATCTTTAAATATCGCAGTTTTTAAAAACTGCGACTACTTTAAAGTAGGTACCTAAATAATTTAGCAGCAAATAATCAAAGTATTAATACCAAATTATAATTTATAATATAAATAACATATTAATAATATATAAAACAAATTTAAACGTGAACTTACATACATTGCTGTTTGATAATCAATTAGTAGGTACAAGTACTAAATAATTATTTATTATACAGGTAAGTACATTCTGAAAAAGGTTTTCTTGAATCAAACAAATGGATTTGTTTGAAATCT